TGTATCCACTGACTCTCACACATCGGTCCAGTTCTTCCTCAGGGTTGAACTTGTTCTCTCTCAGTATAAAGTTTCCCACTGAGCTCCTCTCAGACCAGCTGTTCCCCAGCAGGACAGCTCTGAGCTCAGACACTGAAACGACAGCAAACACAAACACTGAACAAAGAATCTTTCAAAGTTAATACAAGCAGAAACAGCATTATATCATAGGTTTGAATTAATCTAATTTTAATCATTTTCCACTTGTAACCACTGAGTTGTAATTAGTGAAAAATGTGCAAAAATTGTCATTTTGTTTAAATATGTGTTATTTTTTCTAGTATTTATGGATCATTACTGAGCCATAAATATATATTCACATGTGAGAATACAACATAAAGTTTGAGAGTTGACCTCTGTTAAAAGCTCAGTTTTACATCCACAGAATCTGAAGACCAATTTCTTTTTTCTTGCTTGGCACAATTTTATTTCTATAATCTCTTTTGAGCATCATTACCACAGGATACATCACAGTTTCAATAAATTGCACCAACTTCATGTCTGTGGCATAGAGCTACATGAACACTGGTGTCCTGAATGTTTGATCTGTTAACATGAAGTTAAGGAGACATTTGCTGTAACCTCTCCCAGAAATGACCCCCAAAAGTTTACATGAAATAGTTTTCTTCACTCTAAATGTAAAGAGAGAAAGCAGGATCCGTGCACTAAGAGGTTTTTAATTTTTCCAAACAGGCTTCAACTTCCTGCTATATTTTGTCTTCACCTGCTCCTGTCTAATGTCTTCCACCTTAAATTGCCCACTTAAAGTTTGCATTAAACATAATCTTTTCTTTAAAAACTCACTGCTGGGTGGCACAAAATCAAAGCTCTTCCTGCGACGTCTGGGAAAAGTGTCTTGTGGTCCTGCAAAGATAAAGAAATACATAACTCTCCTTTCATTATTATTAGTAGTAGTTTATGCATTGAGACATAATTTGTTATCCTGCAATGACTACATCAGATGGAACAAAGCACTTTAATGTCAACGGCTGACTGCATGAACAGATCACATTAGTTCTGGGAAAGATTATTAAACATGACTGTTAATTTTCAGAAAACACATTCTGACAAATGTTATTGGTTAAACACATTGTTAAAGTATGCTACATGCAACACAGCAGCCTGGTTCAGATGAGACCTGCTGTAAAATATTCACCTGTAGTCACATCGATTATCCTCCAATAATCACTTTTTCTTCATTTTTTTCACATTTCTCCAAACAGGAGAAACCAAGAAACAATTAAATTATTCTCAGAAAGTGCTTGTAGAGGGAGGTAACTCACAGGTACTGCATGTAAGTGTGACAAAGTAAGACTCACCAAATGCTGCTGCCATGCTGTCATTCAGCTGCAGAACTCACTGACTGTGGAGTTAAAAGAAAAAACAACAATGACAGAGAAAACTGTTTGTTTTTCATGTTTGAACCTCTGACATCGAAGGAGTTTTGCACAGACGGTGCTGGATACAGACACTTGGATGGTTTTATGTAAATATTCACAACAAAGCGAACAAAAACTAGTCTTCAGAAGCACGACTGCCTGTAAAACATGGCAGAAAGTCCCTTTCAGACTGTTGTTCACTTTAAGG